CTTATCCGCCTTCACAAAGAGTCTGTTTTCAAGGAGTCTCTGCAGCACCTGCCTGACATGGATAATGTGCTCCTCCTTGTTACGGGAGAAAATGAGAATGTCATCCAAGTAGACAAAGACTGACCGGTTGAGGAGGTCACGGAGTACATCGTTCACCATTGACTGAAAAACTGCTGGGGCATTCGTCAGTCCAAAAGGCATCACCAGATACTCAAAGTGACCGAGTGGTGTGTTAAAGGCAGTCTTCCACTCGTCCCCTTCACGGATTCTGACGAGGTGGTAGGCATTGCGGAGGTCCAGTTTGGAAAAGATGGTGGCTTCCTGGAGGGGTTCAAAGGCGGAGTTAATGAGGGGTAATGGATATTTGTTTTTTATAGTGATGGCATTGAGACCCCTGTAATCAATGCAGGGCCGCAGTGAGCGGTCCTTCTTGGACACGAAGAAGAACCCAGCACCGACCGGGGAGGAGGATGGGCGGATGACACCAGCAGCCAGGGAGTCATGGATGTAACTCTCCATGGATTTTCTCTCAGGGCGAGACAGGTTGAACAGACGTGAGGAAGGCAGAGGGGCCCCGGGAAGGAGGTCAATGGGACAGTCGTAGGGTCGATGAGGAGGAAGAGAAAGAGCTCGCTGTTTACTGAACACCTCTCCTAGGCTATGATATTCCATGGGGACAGATAACAGGTCAGGCGGCTCGATCTTGGGTGGTGGAGCGGCGGCCTCTGCTGGCGGTAGGGCAGACTGCAGGCATGAGGATAAACAAAAACAACTCCAACTAATGATTTTGCCAGTTATCCAATCAATCTGGGGGTTGTGTGTTCTTAACCAGGGATGACCCAACACTATGGGAGCATGAGGTGAGGAAATAAGGTGAAACTGAATAAACTCACGATGGTTTCCAGACAGAATGAGGTTTACTGGCTTGGTGCGGTGAGTGACTTGGGCCAGGAATTGTCCATTAAGAGCATTGGCATTAAGAGGTGAATCCAACACTTCGCAGGGAATTCCTGCCTGAGCTGCGATGTCAATGTCCAAAAAATTCTCGTCTGCCCCCGAGTCCACTAAGGCGAGCAGGGGTAGTGACTGTTGGTTGCAGCAAAGAACGGCTTCTAGCTGCGTTCTGGGTCGGGGGTTGAGAGAGGAGGAAGGGCTCGCCAGAATCCCCACAGCTACTGACGAGCCTGACCTTTTGGCAGATTAGGACAGGAGGAAACTAGATGACTGGTTTGGCTGCAATAAACACATTCCCCAGCCTGGATCCTTCTAGCCCGCTCAGATGGTGAGAGGTGGGCCCTTCCCACTTGCATGGGCTCATCTTCGGGGGGTGAAACCGAGAAAGGAGTCGGAAAGGATCTGGAGATTGGGGCAGTGGCAGTGCCAATTCGGGGATCAAGTGAGGAGTAGCTGGGATTGGGGTGACGGCTATTCCTATCCCTGCGTCTCTCTCTGAGGCGATTATCAATCTTGATAGCTGTGGCAATTAAATTATCCAAGCTAACTGGATCATCCCTAGCAGCTAGCTCGTCTTTAATTGCTTCGTTCAGCCCTTGAAGAAAAACATCTTGCAATGACTCGTTATTCCAGCCTGAGTCAGCAGCAACTGTTCTAAACTCAACTGAAAATTCGGCTACACTACGGGAGCCCTGCCGGAGAGAAAGAAGGCGCCTAGAAGCGTCCCTCCCCCGTACCGGGTGATCAAAAACTTTTTTCATTTCGGAAATGAAAGTATCAAATGATGAGCAAATGTGTGGCTGGCTCTCCCTAACGGCTGTAGCCCAATCTAGAGCACTCCCCCTCAACAGACTCATTACATATGCTACCCTAGCCCCATCTGTGTGATAAGTACTAGGCTGCTGCTCAAAGACTAACGAACACTGGAACAAAAAGGCTCTACAAATACCCAAATCTCCAGCGTATCGCTCCGGTGTAGGAATAACAGCCTCTCGTAGCTGATGGAGAGGTGCGGCAGGAGCGGGGGGAGGAGCTGTCGGCTGTGCAGCGGGCTGCGGGGGAGAAAACTGGGAGGTGAGCAGTTCCACTTGTGTGCCGATCCTTTGCACGTTAGTGGAGAGGTTCCGGAGAGTCTCCACAACCTCACGGAGAACCACGTCGTGATGCCCCACGAGAGCACCTTGATTGGCCAGGGCTTGGCTGAGTTCGTCCGCAGTCTTGGACTGGTGGCCTGTGTCCGCTGAGTCCATACTGGCCAGATCGTTCTGTTACGATATCCGATAGGACCCAAACGCAGGACACGGCAGAGTGTTGGAAAAAGGTTTATTGTGAGGTGGAGGAGCGTGGAGAGTAATCCTGTAGGAATGAAGACTGGTGAGTGTGGAGAGTAATCCGGTTGGAATGATGACTGGTGGCGGCAGGTGATGGTAACAAGGCGGCTGGATAGTGATCCTGGAGCATAAGAGAAACAGATGAGAAAAGTATTCCGTGTACAGAGAAATAGTTTTAAATCGGCTAAGAAGGCTGAGAGTTACCACTGGGGATTAAACAACGATCTGGCGCTGACATGTTGTGGAGCCTCCGCTGATATACCATTAGTAAATGGCTGAATGGGAATCAGGTGTGTAAAGCTGATTGCACCAGGTGGAGATTTGCAGCAGGTGGAGATTGAGCCGGGAGCCAGGAGTGACAGCCACCACGCCCACACAGACAGGGAAAGGGAACACACACTCACAAGGGAGGTGGCTGAAGAGTAGAGCCACCACATATTTAAAACCAAAGTAAAGCCTTACGTCAGATTCAGTGGAGATCCATCCACCCATGTCCAGGTCCCCTCCTCTTCTCTGTCACTCAAACCAATCCAAGTGTCTCCCTTGATCATGCTAGAGATGAATTCCTGTTCACATATTAAAAATGCAGTTTACTGGGATGGACATCAACATTCAGATAACTTTTCCCTTTTTACTAGCTCAGAAATATGTAATTAACACCATTGTTGTGACGTAATCATTATAGCTGATAGACACATTTGCTAGTATATGTACAATAAAAACATTATTGATTGATAAAAGCAGTAGTTATACAATCACAAGTGTTTAAGCAGCACACATTACCTGTTCTTCCTCACTGTCTACGGTCACCAGATGTGCTCCTCCGGCTGTGCAGTTTTGTCTGCTTTGTTCCCAATAAGCTTCCTCAGTAGAGAGGTTATAACAGGAACAACCGAACATCTTCCATCCTTCAGGACACGTTTTCTCTGTAAAAGTTTTAAGATCTTGTTGATTTACTGCTTTAACTGCTGAAATATGGAACTCTTGAGTGCATTATATGTCACTTTTGTAATAATAATGAAAAAACATATTTATTAAGCATTTTTAGAGGGATCAAAAGAGATCACAAATTTCATTGCAGAACAACTACTTCTCTATTTTTGGGATTTAACTAACTGTTTGGATGTGATCTAGTCAGGCACCACAGCACTGAGACTGATCTTGTTAAAGTCTTCAATGACATCCACTTAAACACAGACAGTGGCAACATTTCGGTGTTAGTTGCTAGACCGGAAATTATTATTATTATTATTATTATTATTATGCTGCAAATATCTGGAACAAACTACCACTAAGTTCTTCTTCCAATTGCTTATATTAAAAAGTAATTTAGACAAGGAAACTGGCCATAAGCATAGTTTACAGAGAAATATAAATATGGTGGGTGAAGAAAAATAAAACAAACTATAAATGAAATCACTCACAACTAAGTCATTAAAAACTAATTCTTGATTATCATTAATGAAAAGTGTCATTGTGTAACTATTTTACGAAAGTATCAATAGTCAGCCTTAGACTATCAATATTGAGGTATTTTGTACAAAATATTATGATAATTGATATCTTACATACACATACCAAGCCCTATGCAAAACCCCACATGAAGCACTGACCCTTACCCATCAAACACTGAAGCCTGTCCACCTCTCTGGTCTTTTCAGTGAGGCTGGCCTTCAGCTGGTTGATCAGCTGATCTCTGGCCTGGAGATGCTCAGTCAGGTTTGATTCGACAGCGGAGTCTGAAATGAAATGTAAATAGATCTTTTTTAAATGACCTGATGCAAACATACTGACACAAACCAAAATGAATGTTTTCCTAATTTGGCCCTAGGAGGGAAACGATAGATGTTTTGGTCAAATGTGCATCTTTCAGAGCAGAATATTGCTCTTGAAAATCACACGTTCAAAATGACATTATTAAACATATTAAAAGAAAGACTCACAGTGGACAGCGAGGCCGATGAGTCCAGCCAGCAGGAAAACACTCAGCAGCCCCAGACCGAGAACAGACGCTCTGAGAAGTCTCCTGGGACCTGAACACAGAGAAGACCAGGGAGTAATACAGTAAATCCAAAATCCACAGTGCACTCTAACTGATACTCTTACCTTCTTGTATTGTTGATGAGCTTGAGCTTAGGGTTTTGACATTGTCAACATCGTCATAAATTTCCTCCATTGCTCATGAGAATGCCAACTCTTTCCTAGAAGGTCAGCTCTGCAGCAAGTATCCTGAAGTATGTGACCTGGAAAAGTGTGGTTGCTGGTTTGAATTTCTAAATGCTTTATCTATTTGAGGAAATCACACATCATTTGAGGAAGTCACAGATCATTTTATATAAAGAATATCAGGAAATACTAACTTTATTGATATGACCATATTAAAAACATACTATTGCCAAAGCACATTGACGATACAGATTTAAGACTGAAACAAGTGTGATAATCATGTCCATTGTGTTAAATAGAGACATATAATCTTACAAAGCCATAAAGATGAATAATATTCAAAATATTCTGTTCCTGTAAAGATCTATTTGACTGGTTAATAAAAAGAGAATAGCATGTCATCATTGTGAAAGCAGCTACAAATATTTGTTGGCGTGAAAAGCTGGCTCTCTTGATGGCACAAGACACAAGACGAACTGGCACAGATTTAAAGAATATTATTCTGTTAATGTAATGTTAATTTCTGAAAGTTGAGACAATTTAAGTTACCTTTTGTTGAACTACTGTATAAGTCTTTCAGTCTTCCTCTCAGTTATCCACTCTCAGGTGAAAGCCGTACTGCCGACGCCAGCTGATGCGCCACAACACCACTTCGAGCCCGGTGACTGGGTAGTGATCAAAGACGTCAGGAGGAAACACTGGAAGCAGCAACGGTTCCAGGGAAGTAGCGTGCCAAGCTACCATCACACGCATCAGAGGGTTGTGTTGTTCAGAGGGATGTGTTCCGGTTCATATACATGTAAATAAAAGTTTTACACAGAAAAAAGTTTTACATATGTATTTCTTTTTTTTTCAAAAACATTTTTAGTCACATGAAAAAAGTGTAACAGTGCATTGCAGCCAATAAGGCATTTTCATTTTTTTTTTTACAAAAGAACCCTTACCCACTTTCCCTCAACCCAGCCCCATCCCACCGACCCCCTCTCCCGGAGCACTGAGGCAACAGTACATCAATTACATACCAAATGATAAATACAATAATTTACATGCACATACAGTATATACAAATACACATACCTGCATACATACATACATACATACATGTACACATACACATACACATACACATACACATACACATACACATACACATACTAACACATATATCAAGGGATGTCACACGGGCTGCATGTGTGGTGGACAGGGGAGTAATAATATCAGAATTATAGGCAGATAAAGGGGGAATCCCTACAGCGACACCATATCAGGGGCAAGACGGTCTACATAACTGATCAGTGGCATCCAATGAGCGTAAAACTTATCTGAAGAACCCCGGAGAGTAAACTTAATTTTGTCCAACTTTAGGAGAGACATAGTATCACCCAGCCACATTTTAAAAGAGGGAGGTAAAGGAGATTTCCACAAAAGAAGGATTTTCCAACGAGCAATCAAGGAGGTAAAGGCAATGACATTGGTTTGAATGTTTGTCATGTTGATTTCATCTGGGGGCCTACCGAAAATAGCTACATGAGGGGATGGAGAGATTTTTAGACCTACAATTTCAGAAATACATTTGAAGAAAGATTGCCAGAAGCTAGATAATTTAGGGCACAACCAGAACATGTGAGTCAGGTCGCAGGGGGCCTGGGAACATCTATCACACCTGTCATCCAATCTATCTGGATAAATCCTGGAGAGCTTAGCCTTGCTATAATGTAGTCTATGGAGAACTTTAAATTGTATTAGGCTAAGTCTATTACAACTGTTGGATGAGTTGACGGATCTCAGGGCCTCCTTCCAAAAGTCATCAGAGAAGGTGATCTGTAGTTCCTTTTCCCAATTGGTTCTGATCTTATTAATGGCATATGTCTTTTTGATCCACACATATTTGTTTTCCGTTTAAAACCGCATTGTATGCACCCGTCCTCTGGTTGAACTCATGATACCAAGGGTGAACTTGTTCTCTGTTTCAATCTTTGGCTCGGGCCAAATGCATGATTGTGCATTACTAATAGTCACAAGCAGAAGCATAACCCAGGATGTCATTCATTTCTGTTCCTGTGTACTATGACAAGAGTGGGCCTTTATTTTCTGGAAAGCCCCTTAACCCTTGTGTGGTGTTCATATTTTTGTTATTCAGCCAGTGTTCGTGGGTCTGGTGGACCTGCTGCCTTTTGGGGTTTCAATTCAACACCTTCAAACAATTGTATGTTAAAATACTCAACAGATGTTTACTTCATCCCAATTACAATCAATATAAACATCATTTATGGTTAATATTTGCCCTTTTACATTTGTTAGATCACATGAATTATGAATGAATTAAAGTGCTACTTGTTATTTTGCCCGCCGACAGGCTGGTCCTGTGGCTCGTCTTTTGTTTGTAGCTGATGCTCAATCTCATCCTCTTCTTCAAAGTCACTGTCAGAATCAGAATTCTCAGAAATGTGATCCTCACATTCTGAAACCTCTTCCTCTTCCTCTACATCATCATCAAATGGTTCTCTCTCTTACAAAATCATTTGCAAGGCCCTCTGAGCAGAGAACCTTTTGGCCATCTTGATCAGTTGTGATAAGGACCCAAACTGGCGAAGCTTTATTTATTGTGTTTCGCCCCAAATTTGCAGCTGGGATAGAGTGGGGGAAAAAATAAAGATTGGTTTCCGCAAAACATAATGCGGGAATGTGAGAGCAGACAGGTGTCGGTGCCTGAATCTATCAACCATGTTGCAACCTTGAGCGGGAATGGCAGGGGCAGAAACACAAAAGTTACACACACACACACACACACACACACACACACACACACACACACACACACACACACACACACACACACACACACACACACACACACACACAAGGCACAAGACACACTGGCACAGATTTAAAGAATATTATTCTGTTAATTTAATGTTAGTTTCTGAAAGTTGAGACAATGTAAGTTGCCTTTTGTGGAACTACTGTATAAGTCTTTCAGTCTCCCTCTCAGCTATCCACTCTCAGGTGAAAGCCGGACTGCCGACGCCAGCTGATGCGCCACAACACCACTTCAAGCCCGGTGACTGGGTAAATGGTAAATGGACTGTACTTATATAACGCTTTAGTGGTAGCGATCAAAGACTTCAAGAGGAAAAACTGGAAGCAGCAAAGGTTCCAGGGACTAGCGTGCCAAGCTACCAACACACGCATCAGAGAGAAGTAGCGTGCCAAGCTACCAACACACGCATCAGAGGGTTGTGTTGTTCAGAGAGTTGTGTCGCATGTGTTCCGTTTCCTCATATAGGCTACATGTAAATAAAAGTTTAACACAGAAAAAAGTTTTACATAAGTATTTTTGATCCACACATATTTGTTTGCCGTTTAAAACCGCTGCACCTGCAAACACATCCCGCTTTCTGTGCATGGATCGCTGTGCATTCGTGTGTGGGTTTGGTGACCCGATTCATACTTGTAATTTGTTCTATCTATAGCCAATCAGATGTCTCCTCCATTACATTACATTACATGTTAGACGCTTTTATCCAAAGCGACTTATATACTCAATACTGTGGACAATCCCCACAGGAGCAATTTGGGATGAAGTGTCTTGCCCAGGAACACAATGACATGCTGACTGCAGTGGGGTTTGAATCTTGTGCTCCCATGATCCGAACACCACCGCACTAGTCCACTGTGCCACAGCCTCCCCATTCTAATCACATGAGCGCGCCCCCACGAGGGTATGATTTATTGCGTTCATGACGTAGCACTACATATACGCATTTTGCGCTGTCCAGAGCTGACAGGTCCATGGAGCCTGCCTGCAGGCGCTAATCTCAGGACCGAAGGACCGTATTATAGTCGTCTTTATTTTTATGTTATTATTATTCAAAGATAAATAAGGAAGTTAGTGTTATATGAGATGGCAGAGAGGATTCAGCTCAGATTATTAAATCAAAGAGGCTTAATGTTTTCTATTATAATATTTCACTATAGCTACAGTATGTGGACAGTGTCAAGGTCCAATGTTGACAAAATTAATCAATAGCAGGTGTAACTAAAATACAAGATGTCTTTATTTATATATATATATATTATTAATAATAATAATAATAATAATATAAAAGATTGTATTTGCGTGCATTTCCTGTTCGGAAAGTGACGCTGTACTGAGAGTGGCGATTTAATTTTGTAATTATATAATTATATAATAGCCTACTTGTAATAATGGTGCGTTCACGACGGACGCGATGCGAATAATCGCTCGAGTTTCACGGCGGCTGTCAGCTGTGTTTACTCACCTCATTCATCTGAGTCAGCTTCTCGAGCCATACTGGCCGTGCAACACGTACATTGACACATACTGTATGCCGAAGTGTTATTTTAAACATTAAAGTGGACCTATCATGCTATATTTAAATGATATATTGTCGGGCCATACCTATATAAGGTATATTTATACGTTTCTGTTTTCAAAATACCAAACAGATCATGCATTTTAGCCATGCCTCATTTCGCTCTATTTGCTGTTCTCCAGCCCTGTTTTTGCAGGGGGCTGATTCTCTGAGCTGCAGCTGACCACGCCCCCCTGCAGGAGAGGGGAGCCGCTCTGATCAAGTCAGAAGAGGGGGAGAAAAAGAGATCTCCGTCCTCCATGTTTTATTCTTATATGATTATATAGAGTCATTATTCATTTGTTTTAAAGCTCAATAAATAACAAAGAAGACCTTTGAGCGGCACTTTTCAAATTTTGTCCGGAAGATTTAAACTTTAACGGACATGTTGACCGGCGAAAAAAAATCTAACTGAAACTCTGCCGCACGGTCCCCTTATTCCTTGGAAGAGGCGGAGAGGTGGGTGTTTGTCATCTGCTGGTGGACTACCTGGAGAGAATTACAGTGCTTGCCTCGACGGGGAGGGATTGCATTGAATTACAGCAGCGGGAGCAAACGCTTGCCTCGGGGAGGGCGAAAAAAAGCCACAGTAGAGAATAAACAGAGCGGGAAGTCTTGTTTGCTGCTTTTGTGGCAGACTACAGCGCCACTTACAGGCCTAGCATATGTACTACAGCGTCTCCAGCGCTTTCGAGCGGCAATGGCCGGCCGTGGCCCAACCCCACATTCCCCTGATAGGTGGAGAGTTGGCCCAACAGCCGTAGCGCCACCGTCACGTCAGTAACGTGTTCAAATCTGGATCAGTTTAATCAGGAAAATAGAGAGGGTTGTGTTTTCTGACACTTGGTGAGTTCCCTGGAACACCGGGGACACATATTCATGAATAAAAGACGTACAAAAGTGCATTTTGCATGATAGGTCCCCTTTAAGTTGACGAAACACTTGAGTCAAATGTAATTAAAGTCAAATCCACTTGTGTCAGTGATATCATAAAACTGTTATTGTACGCATTCAAACACTCGTCGTTTTTTTTGTTTTGTTCCAGCTGTTCTGTATTCACCTTGCAGGTGAAACTATGTGGCTTGTATCCAAGGGCTGACTGGGACCAAAAATCAGCCCTGGACTCTGACCCAGCCCAGCCCAGACAAATTGGTAGAGCACAACTTGTGAACTGTCAACGGGGGGGGGGGGGGGGGAGAGCGGAGAGCTCGACACTCGTGAACTGTCAACAGGAGGGCGGGGGAGCCACGCTGCGGGGAAACTGTGGACCTCTGTCGTCTGTCAGCGCAATTTACATGATGCCATTTAAATCCAGAACACACAGATGGCCAGTCCGCCCCTGCTCCTGGATTAAGTGTTTAAGTCATGGATGTTTAAAGTTTAACTTCTTCATATTTGTCTAATATTATAGTTTACTTTTCATTCATGAAGTATGCCGCTGCGCTGTCAGTACGCTTGTCCCTGTTTGTGATTGGTCAAATGTTGCTAACCCCGCCCCTTTCACGTGAACGCACTCTCGGCCGGACAGAGAAACCCTGGGTTGATTTACTGAGTTGATAACCAGCGTCGTAGGACGGCTTGTTAGGGTTAGTTAAGCCAGATAACTCAGAGATATCCAGGGTCTGTTGAACTGGCTTCGTAGTACAGGCCACTAATCGATCCGGCTGAGCCAACCTGTAGCTGCTCCCTCCACACTCACAACAACTTCATACAGACATAAATAAAGCAGCTGTATTCGCCATACAGGAAACACACATTTAAAACGGTTTTGCCTGCCGTTTTTGTGTACACAAGCATGGTTCGGAAAGTGGCGCTGTACCTTAATAATATTAAAGATTGTATTTGCGTGCATTTCCTGTTCGGAAAGTGGCAATGTACTGAGAGTGGAGGTGTCCTGAGATGGACCTGTCAGCGCTACGTCATGAACACAATAAATCATACCCTCGTGGGGGCGCGCTTATGTGTTTGGCTTAGAATTGAGGAGACATCTGATTGGCTATAGATAGAAAAAAGTACGAATCGGGTGACCGTAAGGTAATGGCACAAGGTCACACACACACACACACACACACACACACACACACACACACACACACACACACACACACACACACACACACACACACACACACACACACACACACACACACACACACACACACACACACACACACACACACACACACCTATATATGTCTCAGTGTTAAAAAATATTATTCTGTTAATGTAATGTTAGTTTCTGCTACCTTTTACAGTACAGTACTTATCCATCCATCCATCCATAGTATGCAGAAAGGCTCTTTTCACAGTAATACACGTCATGTCTTTTGGTTACTATTTTCTTAGATAGGAAACAAGTTGTGACTCACTTGTCAGTGAGTGAAAATATCCTGTACAAGACCAATCCACCAATTCATGTCTAAAAGAGGCCCTGTTGCGCTTTTTGGGGGTTTCCTTTACCTACGAGTGTAACACATTGATGTGACAATGTTACCATTCCAACACAATGAATGTGATAGGTTAAGGGGCTGGAGATCTCTAAGCAGTTGGCCAATCACAACGGAGCCGGCCAGCTAACCAATCAGAGCAGACTGGGCTCTGGTTTCAGACAGAGGGTGAAAAGAGGAGCTACAGCACAGGCAGTATGAGAAAAATAAAGAGCTTTTTGAACATTAAAGCATGGAGACATGTCACAGTAGAGACACACAATTTAATTATCCTAATAAATGCATTTCAGGACAACGTTTGTTATTTCATAATATAGAAGCCGTACAATATGCAGCTTTTTTTTATTGCACATGATGGTCATGAGCACGTATAGAACATGCTAAACATCCTAATTTCCCATGGTTAATATTCCCAGTAACAAGCAGTCAAATTTGGCCAAAACTCAAACCAATATCTTCATTCCTGACCTCCAACCACTTGTTGATGTAGACTCTCTTTCTCTATATATACAGTTTAGCAAATACAAAAGCACTTTTGAAGTCATTTTGCATCAATTGTAAAAGTAGTAACAAATGTATTGGTAAATTGATAGCATTTTATATATTGCTTATCCAATCTTTACAACTCTTCAAAGCATACATACTGTACATATCTAGCATTCTCCCATATTCACAGACAGGGGCAGCCAAACTAAATGCCACCAGCTCAAGGAAGCTAACATTCATACGGGATTAATCTGGGGTTAAGTGGGATACATCGACATGAGGACGGCAGGAGCTGGGATCGGACCCACAACCTTCCAATGGGAAGACACACCCACTGCCTCACAGCCACAAGCTACAGTATTTTTTCACAGATCCATTGCAGAGGGGTAGTACACCGTAGATCATTCCAGTTGTTTTCACCATTCCAGTTATTTACAAGACATGCACAGTCCTCTTCACCCCACTTAGGATCACCATTACCATTATCAGGTGGCTGTCCCCAGTACCTAGGAAGTCATACAAAAGTTAGTTTTTGAGGATACCTCCCCCCAACTTGAACTGCATATATAAAATACTTTTTCACCCATGCTCAAAGAGACCAAAATCCCCACACATTTGGTTATGCCAATTGCTTGTGGGGTTCAATAACACATCAACACAACAACATGTTAATTGTATGGGCTGGGCATCGAAACACAGACCTTTACTTCTGATTCCAATCAAGCAATCCACAGCTTCTACATGATGCCAAAACATAATAAATGCAGCTTTATGTATTTCTAGCAGGGGTGGGAATCACCAGGCTCCCCGCGATACGATACGATACTATCGCAACTCTTAAAGGTATAGGTAAGAATGGAGAAACCAGCTCGAGTGCGCTAGAATTTGAAAGTAGGTAGCCGAAAAAAATCTGCCCCTTCCTTCAGACTTCCTTACAGAGCCCCTCCTCCAACACATGAACGTGCACATGACCAATGAGGGCACGAGATAAGTTTGTGCACAGATGGAAGGCTGACAGGCAGGTAGGCCATCCCAACACACTCTCACTCCCTAAGCGTCCAGGAGCGACGCTTGGTCAGGGTCCCGTGGCATCCAGTTGTGACGCGCCGAGGCTCCTTCAGCTTCATAAACGGACGCAAAGAGCTTTCAACTGATTGCAATGTATTCCCATCGGCGTCGGTATTTGACGCTTAGGGAAGCACGGCATTCGTTTGTGTCGGAGGCTGTTAAAGGCAATGTGAGCGTCCATTCCCATTGGATAACGGAGAATTGTACACCCGGAAGTAAGTATTCCCCTTACTGTCGATTGATTTGACAGTGATATCTCCACTACTCATCAACTCAAAAACACCAGATTATCCTTGTTAATTAAACGACATTGATAGGTTTTAGTGTGTGTACAATGCTTTTGTCACGTTTCCCCCTTCAATTCTGAGAAACAAGTCGTTTTCTATGAGTTTTGGATGGCCGAAGACATTACATTACCCACAATCCTCTGTAGCAACCATAGACTGTATACAAAAATTAAATAATACATTAATCCGAGTGTGCTTGCTTTTCTCTTCAAAAACACCAGATTATCCTTGTTAATTAAACGACATTGATAGGTTTTAGTGTGTGTACAATGCTTTTGTCACGTTTTCCCCTTCAATTCTGAGAAAACGAGTCGTTTTCTATGAGTTTTGGATGGCCGAAGACATTACATTACCCACAATCCTCTGTAGCAACCATAGACTGTATAAAACAATTAAATAATACATTATTCCGAGTGTGCTCGCTTTTCTTTTTGAAAGTCATCACATAACGGCATTGTAATACACGTTTCGGCTGCATTAAATATGACATATCTGCCGTAGTTAACTCTGCCCTGATGACAAGACTTCTAGACAAACAGGAACTGCTGCCAAAACTGAAAACTTGACGTGGATCTTAAATATATAAGCAATTAAACAACATCTTACATTTCTTTTCACACAATACGTCTCCTTGCAGTATCAACACTAATTCGGCTGACTTTTATATTTGATCCAATTGGTAGATAGGCTGTATTTATGCCATAACGGTGCACAGCTGATAGAAAGGGACACCTACTGGTTAAAGCACGTTATTGCATTTTATAATTTTATTATTAGATATTAATAGGAGGATGTGCAAAACAGACAAACTAATAAGGCTTTATTTAAACATTAAAGAATACTTTAGGTTAAGGTCTTCTTTTGAATAAGAAAAAAGCTTTGGGGGTATAGAAGATGAATATGGAGGGATGAAACCCTCTTTGATGGTCACACATGCAGAGCACACAGCACACACAGTGACATTTGTATCTACAGATAAATATTAAGCCTGACAAAGTACTTAACGTCTAATATATTGCTTTCCTGCCATGTTAACTATGTTTAAGCACTTATTTTAACTGATATTATACATATGTATTATACTCTTATAAGATGTATGTAGATAGTATAAGAAATGTGCAGAATATGACAATGTAATGGTGGAGGTACACACATATTGATAGATGTCTTGTAATGCACTGTTGAGGAACCTGTGACCCAAGTTTTTCATTCATTGCATAACTACACCGTAGTTGTGTATAATATGATATGTCAATAAACCTTAGAAAATCTTGAAATCTTGAAAGGGATTTGCAAAATAGTCATTATATACAGTCTTTAATGTCAATAAACCTTAGAAAATCTTGAAATCTTGAATGGGATGTGCAAAATAGTCATTATATACAGTCTTTAATTAACTATTAGTAGAGAATAACGACGAGTAAAGAATATACTTTATAGGGATCCTATTAATATCTAATAATACAATTATAAAATGCAATAACGTGCTTTAACCAGTAGGTGTCCCTTTCTATCAGCTGTGCACCGTTATGGCGTAAATACAGCATATCTACCAATTGGATCAAATATAAAAGTCAGCCGAATTAGTGTTGATACTGCAAGGAGACGTATTGTGTGAAAAGAAATGTAAGATGTTGTTTAATTGCTTATATATTTAAGATCCACGTCAAGTTTTCAGTTTTGGCGGCAGTTCCTGTTTGTCTAGAAGTCTTGTCATCAGGGCAGAGTTAACTACGGCAGATATGTCATATTTAATGCAGCCGAAACGTGTATTACAATGCCGTTATGTGATGACTTTCAAAGAGAAAAGCAAGCACACTCGGAATAATATAATATTTAATTGTTTTATACAGTCTATGGTTGCTACAGAGGATTGTGGGTAATGTCATGTCTTCGGCCATCCAAAACTCATAGAAAACGACTTGTTTCTCAGAATTGAAGGGGAAAACGTGACAAAAGCATTGTACACACACTAAAACCTATCAATGTCGTTTAATTAACAAGGATAATCTGGTGTTTTTGAAGAGAAAAGCAAGCACACTCGGATTAATGTATTATTTAATTTTTGTATACAGTCTATGGTTGCTACAGAGGATTGTGGGTATTGTAATGTCTTCGGCCATCCAAAACTCATAGAAAACGACTTGTTTCTCAGAATTGAAGGGGAAAACGTGACAAAAGCATTGTACACACACTAAAACCTATCAATGTCGTTTAATTAACAAGGATAATCTGGTGTTTTTGAGTTGATGAGTAGTGGAGATATCACTGTCAAATCAATCGACAGTAAGGGGAATACTTACTTCCGGGTGTACAATTCTCCGTTATCCAATGGGAATGGACGCTCACATTGCCTTTAACAGCCTCCGACACAAACGAATGCCGTGCTTCCCTAAGCGTCAAATACCGACGCCGATGGGAATACATTGCAATCAGTTGAAAGCTCTTTGCGTCCGTTTATGAAGCTGAAGGAGCCTCGGCGCGTCACAACTGGACGCCACGGGACCCTGACCAAGCATCGCTCCTGGACGCTGAGGGAGTGAGAGTGTGTTGGCCATCCAGTTATTTTAGCCGGGCCGTCTAAAATAATTGGTCGCACCTTTTACAGCGCCACGGCTTCCACGGATGACATTTTTTTATGTATTTATTGTCAAAGCATTTAATGTATTAATTGCTATTGGGATGTTAAAAGCATTCCATGGAATATAACAAAAAGTGTTTCTGAAGTGAATTACCTACCCCACCTTTAAGCCACGATACGATAGTATTGCGATACGATATATTGGGATATTGCAAATCACATGGGTCATATCCATGTCCGTCTTCCCTTTAAAAAATGTATTTGCAATATGAATAGTTTATGTAAATAACCTAATTTTTGTTATTTGAACCTGAAAAGGAGATGGTATTGTTTTTGTTGCTTTCATTGCAATTGTATACATGTCTTAACGTAACTTCCTGTTTTATATAGACATGCTTTTATTTTGAAGGCGACTTTGCGCTATTAGCAGGAAGTTACTGTTCCCAAAGCAAAAACTTGACATTGGAAAAGAACGGAGATAAAGTACAGATATTAACGGAGATATCAACATTTAAATATGGCGATATCAAAAGATAAAGTTTACATTTAAGTATAAGCATCCCCCGAAGAGGCACAAGGTTAGTGTTAACTGTAATATAAAAATGTGGTTTGTGTCTTAATTCGTTTATATACAACTTTGCTAACTATTTGAAGTTCTCTTGTTTTATGGTATTCTAAAGTAATGCTCATATGGATGTAGCTTAAATGTATTTGTTGTTTTGTGTCTTTGTGTAGCCCTTACGTTGGTTTTTGGAGTTTTCAATACATTTGAAATCATCAGTCTAGTGTACGACCATCTTTCCGAGCGATATTCTACAGTTTATATAATAAAATATCGATACTTGGCGTCCGTATATATATATACAATATCGCCACGCAAAGTATCGCGATACTATGCTGTATCGATTATTTCCCCCATCCCCTAATTTTTTAGTAAAATGTACTTTGGAGTTTTGGTTTCCCACCAATTTTATTCCCAAGGTCAAATGTTCAATGCATGTTTCGTCAATTTGTTGAAGTCCCCCACACTTCTGATGTACTTTCACTGCCTGCTTTCCTCTATTTTGTGGCAAATTGCTGATTCAAGAAAAAAAAGAAGCCGCCTCAGCACACCTCATTTTTATTAAGACACCCCTTTCATTATTCTCTTAAATACAACAAAAACATTGAATGGTTATGATCAGCAGTTTCTAGACTTGGGTTCTGTAAATTCCGAAAAGTATTAACAATTAATAATTATGTTTAGACAGTCATACAAAAAAGCTATGTAACGCACAGCTATATTATGAAGGCACCTATAATATCAACTATGCCTTACTTCTGAGTCAGTAGAGATCCATCGACCCATTTCCAGGTCCCCTCTTGGTCTATGTCATTCAACCCAATCCAAGTTGGTTCCTTGATCATGCTGGTCATGAACGTCTGTAAAAGAAAAATATTAATATAAAAGGTCCTGATGTTTATTATTGTTGCTGATGGTTGTGGGGATAGTGGTGGTCTAATGGATAGTGAGGTGGGCTGAACACCACCACTAGTGTGCCCTTGATTAAGGCACTTAGTCCTTAGTTACTCCAGGGAGAATGTCCCTGTAATTGGTAGTTGTAAGTCGCTTTGGATAAAAGCGTCAGCTAAATTAAATGTAATGTAATGATGTCTTAGGCCCCGTCCACACGGAGACGATTTCAGTTGCATCCGCTAAAGTTCTTTATCGTATAGACGGTTCGTCCACACGAAGCCGAAACGGAGCCGCAGCTTCGGAGCCCGAAACCGATACACTTTGAAAACGGCTCCCAAAGTGGGTAAGTCTGGAGACTAAACGCTTGCAGCTCCATGTATACACCCTATACGATCATTTCCTGAATCGATGACCCCATAGCCCCGCCTCTCCCGCTCACCCCCGCGTCATTGCTGATGCGTTTCGCCAACAACAACAACAACAATGGCGGATCACAGGGTTGCATTCGTGCTCCAGACGCTACTGACCATGATACAGATATTAGTGAAACATCTACAGCTCCTCTACCATAACCATCAGCAACAATAATAATATAATATAATAATAATAATAATCGTCATCGGTCTTATTCGCTGCTTTTGGTGTATTTTGTGGCGGAAGTACAGCGCCACTTACAGGCCCAGCATATGTACTACAGCCTCTCCAGCGGTTTCGAGCGGTTTCGTTTGGACGGAAGACTTTTTTGAAAACGACTTCAGTTCGAAATCGGTTTCATCTTGGTTTCGTCTCTGTGTGGACAGGGCCTTAGTCTTAAACATATTATAAATGAAGTTTACAGGGATGAACATCGACATTCGGATAACTATTCCCTTCTAACTAACTCAGACATAATGTAAGGCCCTAGCAAGCATGTTGATGTTTTTGTTATTATTCCTGTTTTTATTTTGTTTGTCTCATTTCAGTTTCAGCTTTCTTGCCCTTGATTGAACTCCACCTGCTTCCCATCCCTAATTAGCCTCACCTGTGCCTGATTATCATCCCTCCCCCTGTCTATTTAGTCTGCGTCCACATTTCCCTCAGTGCCAGTTCGTCTTTGTTATTCCTAGCATTCCAGCAGTGTTTATTCCTACTAGTATCTTGATTCCACGTGTACCTGACCCAGCTTCGTGTCCTGACCCTGTTCCTGCCTAATCCTCGTCTGTTTTGGTTGCCTTACTGACTGATCTCCCGTGTACCGAGCCTCTGCTATAAAGACCTTTTTGCAACCTAACCCCTAGATTCCACCGGGTCCGTCTGCGCCGCGTTACGGCTGCGCCGCGGTTTTGGTCCGGCCTCCTCCGGCGTCATACCCTACCAGGCGCGTTTCAGAAGCATTTCAGAAGCGGAGAGTCTTGCCTGCCGGCTCGCAGTTTTTGTTGATTTGGGCATATTTCCTGGACAGGCTACTTTGTACAGACAAAGTTAATAATAACTGTAATATTCCAGTTATAAACGACATGAATCAAAGATGTGTTGCTGTATTTTAGTGGTAAAAAAAATGCATTCATCATCATAATTATTCTATATATATAATTTACACAGTGCCTGTAAACCGGAGGAGAACGCTGGCATTTCTCCTCCTACTTGAAAGACTACGGAGGGATAGGGTCTGCAAAATTAGTTTGTGTGTGTGTATATATATAGGTCTATATAGCTCTGAACGTTCCACTTCCTGCCTGCCCGACCTTACGTTACGGCTGCGCCGCGACAAAAATAGGATTCGATCCTAATTTTAGAAAAGCCCTGCGCCGAGCCGCTTCTGGGACGCTTCTGGGACGCGTCTGAGCCGTAACGCGCCGCGTGTGGTGGAATAGCACCCATTGACTAGAGTGGCCGCGATCATCTTGAGCACCGCGGCGCAGCCGTAACGCGTCCGTAACGCGCCGCAGACGGACCCGGTGGAATCTAGGGGTTAGCCTCTGTCCCTGAGTCGTGCTATTGTGGAGTCTATTTGTATATAACATTAGAAAGACTGATTCTTATTATTACATTATAAGCTTATTGTGCTCATTTTATGTTGATGTGACTTTGGAATAAATAGACAGAATCACCAATCCCAAGGTTTGATGGATTGGATAGGAAACAAAGGGAAAAGTCACATAAGAAAGTTTTAGCCTGCAATACAGAGTAGCAAGGTCAGGTGCAGACACTGGAAGAATACAAAGAGTTATTCATGAACAGGACATCGCTCCGGCCTTGAGTTGTGTGGGAGCTTCGCACCCACGCATAGCTAGGAAGCAGTCTAAATGGAGGATTCCACTATATGCCTGCAAAGCAGCTTTAGTGAAAACAAATTACTAGGATAGCGGATAGTATAGGGAGGGACTTCGCCGGCCGGCCGAATGCTGATTGGAAGGTCGTGTTGCCAAGAGACCTTATCTGAGTCTGTGCACCAACAAGAGAGAGCCAAAGTTTAAACCAAGGTTACTCTCCATCTAGTCTCAACCAATCATAAATGTACGGGCAACGCCCTGTGAGATAAAAATGTATTGTCGCACAAGGTTCGGGGCTCTTTCCGGAAATAGTGGTTACAGATTCTAGCTTTGCTGCCAATACACTCTCACTCCATAAACGTCCAGGAGCGACGCTTGGTCAGGGTCCCGAGGCGTGCAGTTGGGACGCTCCTGTAGGCTCCTTCAGCTTCATAAACAGACGCAAATAGCTTTCAACTGATTGCAATGTATTCCCATCTGCATCATTGACGCACATGGAAGCACGGCATTCGTTTGTGTCGGCGTCTGTTAAAGGCAATGTGAGCGTCCATTCCCATTGGATAACGGAGAATTGTACACCCGGAAGTAAGTATTCCACTTACTGTCGATTGATTTGACAGTGATATCTCCACTACTCATCAACTCAAAAACACCAGATTATCCTTGTTAATTAAACGACATTGATAGGTTTTAGTGTGTGTACAATGCTTTTGTCACGTTTTCCCCTTCAATTCTGAGAAACAAGTAGTTTTCTATGAGTTTTGGATGGCCGAAGACATTACATTACCCACAATCCTCTGTAGCAACCATAGACTGTATATTGCAACAGGCAACAGCTTCGGTTCATGTTAATTTACAAACTCTTCAACTACAACCGTAGTTATATTTAAAAACATGTTAGAAGGCCTCACAAAATACTTTAAAGGTGGGGTAGGTCATTTTGGAGAAACTAGCTCGAGTGCGTAGAAAATACACAACCGGAGAAAATCTGCCACTTCCTTACAGAGCCCCTCCTCCAACACACACGAACGCGCACATGACCAATGAGGGCACAAGATAAGTTTGTGCACAGATGGAAGGCTGACAGGCAGGTAGGCCATCCAGTTATTTTAGCCGGGCCGGCTAAAATGATTGGTCGTGCTTTTTACAGTACTACGGCTTCCACAGATGACATTTTTTTTATGGATTTTTTGTCAAAGCACTTAAGATATTCATTGCTATCGGGATGTTAAGAGCATTCCATGGAATATAACAAAAAGTGTATCTCGAGCCGGTTTCTCAAACTTACCTACCCCACCTTTAATGTAAATTAAAATGTAAATGTGAAGGAATGTGTGTATATTAACTGTGGGTTTTTCTCTGGAAGTTTTTCTTTGTACGATGTGAGGGTCAAAGGACAGATGATGCCGTTTTTCTCATACTGATATTCCGCTATGCACGCTGGGATTTGGTGTTTATGCGATGTGAAATCCGAAAACATTTAAAAAAAATTAAATAATACATTATTCCGAGTGTGCTTGCTTTTCTCTTTGAAAGTCATCACATAACGGCATTGTAATACACGTTTCGGCTGCATTAAATATTACATATCTGCCGTAGTTAACTCTATTTATAGAGCCCTGATGAGAAGACTTCTAGACAAACAGGAACTGCCGCCAAAACTGAAAACTTGACGTGTATCTTACATATATAAGCAATTAAACAACATCTTACATTTCTTTTCACACAATACGTCTCCTTGCAGTATCAATACTAATTCGGCTGACTTTTATATTTGATCCAATTGGTAGATAGGCTGTATTTACGCCATAAGAAAATAGATAGAAAGGGACACCTACTGGTTAAAGCACGTTATTGCATTTTATAATTGTATTATTAGATATGAATAGGATCCCTAAAAAGTATATTCTTTACTCGTCGTTATTCTCTACTAATAGTTCATTAAAGACTGTATATAATGACTATTTTGCACATCCCATTCAAGATTTCAAGATTTTCTAAGGTTTATTGACATTAAAGACTGTATATAATGACTATTTTGCACATCCCTTTCAAGATTTCAAGATTTTCTAAGGTTTATTGACATATCATATTATACACAACTACGGTGTAGTTATGCAATGAATGAAAAACTTGGGTCGCAGGTTCCTCAACAGTGCATTACAAGACATCTATCAATATGTGTGTACCTCCACCATTACATTGTCATATTCTGCACATTTCTTATACTATCTACATACATCTTATAAGAGTATAATACATATGTATAATATCAGTTACAATAAGTGCTTAAACATAGTTAACCTTTGCAGGAAAGCAATATATTAGACGTTAAGTACTTTGTCAGGCTTAATATTTATCTGTAGATACAAATTTCACTGTGTGTGCTGTGTGCTCTGCATGTGTGACCATCAAAGAGGGTTTCATCCCTCCATATTCATCTTCTATACCCCCAAAGCTTTTTTCTTATTCAAAAGAAGACCTTAACCTAAAGTATTCTTTAATGTTTAAAAAAAGCCTTATTAGTTTGTCTGTTTTGCACATCCTCCTATTAATATCTAATAATAAAATTATAAAATGCAATAACGTGCTTTAACCAGTAGGTGTCCCTTTCTATCAGCTGTGCACCGTTATGGCGTAAATACAGCCTATCTACCAATTGGATCAAATATAAAAGTCAGCCGAATTAGTGTTGATACTGCAAGGAGACGTATTGTGTGAAAAGTAATGTAAGATGTTGTTTAATTGCTAATATATTTAAGATCCACGTCAAGTTTTCAGTTTTGGCGGCAGTTCCTGTTTGTCTAGAAGTCTTGTCATCAGGGCTCTATAAATAGAGTTAACTACGGCAGATATGTAATATGTAATGCAGCCGAAACGTGTATTACAATGCCGTGATGTGATGACTTTCAAAGAGAAAAGCAAGCACACATTTTTAAATGTTTTCGGATTTCACATCGCATAAACACCAAATCCCAGCGTGCATAGCGGAATATCAGTATGAGAAAAACTGCATCATCTGTCCTTTGACCCTCACATCGTACAAGGAAAAACTTCCAGAGAAAAACCCACAGTTAATATACACACATTCCTTCACATTTACATTTTAATTTACATTAAAGGATTTTGTGAGGCCTTCTAACATGTTTTTAAATATAACTACGGTTGTAGTTGAAGAGTTTGCAAATTAACATGAACCAAAGCTGTTGCCTGTTGCAATATACAGTCTATGGTTGCTACAGAGGATTGTGGGTAATGTAATGTCTTCGGCCATCCAAAACTCATAGAAAACGACTTGTTTCTCAGAATTGAAGGGGAAAACGTGACAAAAGCATTGTACACACACTAAAACCTATCAATGTCGTTTAATTAACAAGGATAATCTGTTGTTTTTGAGTTGATGAGTAGTGGAGATATCACTGTCAAATCAATCGACAGTAAGGGGAATACTTACTTCCGGGTGTACAATTCTCCGTTATCCAATGGGAATGGACGCTCACATTGCCTTTAACAGACGCCGACACAAACGAATGCCGTGCTTCTATGAGCGTCAAATCCCGCCGCAGATGGGAATACATTGCAATCAGTTTAAAGCTATTTGCGTCTGTTTATGAAGCTGAAGGAGCCTAGGAGCGTCCCAACTGCACGCCTCGGGACCCTGACCAAGTGTCGCTCCTGGACGTTTATGGAGTGAGAGTGTGTTGTTGCTGCCTGTGATTTCTATGACGTGACGAAGTCCTTGGCCAAGTGAATATACATCTTTTGCTCTCTTATAATAAATAGTTAAACTTAGAAGTTGTCTGTCTTTCCTGGAATTTTGAACAAAACACTATTGAGTCCTCTACTGGTGTTCATTCAGTCGTTACACATAAATCATACATTTCATTTTTGTAATCTAATCTAAATGATACGTATGAAAGATACACATAAAAGCATGCAATAAAAACACAACACATTTGTACTTAAACACTAAAGTATTAGCATAAAAATAAACTTGAAGTATCAAAAGTAAAATAACTCATTGTGCATAAAAGCCAGTAACGATAACACACAGCTGTGAAGTAGATAAGTAATAAATAGGCGAAATGATAATGATAAAACCACCATATAAAAAATATAAAATCAAAGTTTTGTTAATTTTAATTATTTAATATGTACATTGGCACCTATTAAACAGCCTTTATATTTTGATTCTGATTCAGATAAGTAAAACAATAAATTGATAAAGCAGCACACATTACCTGTTCTTCATTACTGTCTACGATCACCAGATCTGCTCCTCTGGCTCTGCAGTTTTGTCTGCTTTGTTCCCAAGAAGCTTTCTCCGTAGAGAGGAGATAACAGACACAACCGACCATCCTCCATCCTGCAGGACAAGTTTTCTCTGCAAAAAAAGACAAGACATGCCTTATTACCTTCTTTTGAGTTGTAAGATTTAGTTGACTCCTTGCTGAAATATTGAACTCTTGAGAGCATTCTTGTCCCTTGTGTGATTTAAAAAAATACATATTCAATAAGCATTGTTGATGATAACCAAGATCTATTCTGATAGATCGGTATCATTGCATGGGACAAAGGGTAAAACTTCTCTCACTCTGCATCATTTTAAGAGTCTGTTATGATTCCTTACACGGTACTATAAGTCCAATTGCTTAATAAATAAAATAAAAAAATACTGCAATAAAGGCGGTAATTTTGACCGACATGACATCAAAAAAGGAAGATGATGGGAAATGTATCTTCTAGATCACCATATAAATAATAATAATAATGATAATACACTTTATTTATATAGCACCTTTCAAAACGTAGTTACAAAGTGCTATAACATAAAAATACATGGTGAGCAAGATAATTAAACAACAGTATGTAAACATAAAAACACAGAGTAAAACACATAGAAAATAAATATAATAAGCTTAAAAATAAAATCACACAAGTCATTACAAACTTGAAGAAGAGCCGTTTCAGTACTATGATTTTTCTAAAGCCAGATTAGAATTTTTCTAAAATATTGTTGTCATTGATAAAAGCTAACAATTATTCTGCTACAGTTTTTTCTAAAACTTTATCTAAAAATGGGAGCTTGGAAATATGTCTAAAAATGTTGGGCTTTTTAAGAAATGGCTGAACCAGCGCAGTTTCAGGGACAGAACCTGTAAAAAGAGAGCAGTTAAAAATGTGCAGAATACAAGGTGTCAACATTTTTAAAACATCCTTATAAAGAGATATTTAGTTATTCACAATCTTATAATTATGTGAAGTGATGGGACTGAAGCTTTTTAGCTTTTAAAACGATGTTACAACGATTTTTTTAAAGGGCTGTACACATAAAAAATGTATGTGAAAAAAAAAGCACTGAGAGTAAAATAAGTCTGGTGTTCTACACTTTTATGCAGAAGGGATTGGCAATATATTGATATTGTCAAACAAGAATAGATAAGTTGTTAGACTTTGGATTTCCTCATATAGTAAGTTGGCATGTTGTCTTTTCACATTTTTATGAAAAGACAACACGCTAGTATGAAGACATCATTGTAGAGCTGTGCCCGTGATACCCACCAGGAAAGGACATTTGTTCATGTGTTCATTATGGGTAGGCCAGTGCCTCAGGACGCACTTAAGCCTGGCTGCCTGTCCACTCTCTGACTCTCTCCTGGATCCCCTTCCCCTCGCGCAGCCTGGCTCATTTTAAGTTAATGTATTGTTCATCGAACTCCACTGCAGTGACTTTTTTTATTTACTTTAATAAATGTGAGTTTGTTCTCGCTGAATTCCCTCTCCTTTGTTGTGGCCACGATTTAAAAAAAATGCCTGGGCAGCTTAGAGGTCTAAGCATTGGTTTTAAGTTTAAGGGCCCAGGGTTCGACACCAAATGCAACATCTTTTGTCTTCGACCTTTTTAAATTTACATTATATCTTTGTTCAATCACATTATAACATTTCCAATGCCATTCTCTGGTACGCTCATGTTATTTTATCAAAGCAGCAATTGCCAACCTTAGAATATCGATGCAATTGTTTGTTTGTTTGTAGCCTTTATTTATCCAGGTTAAAAAATCCCATTGAGATCAACGATCTCTTTTACAAGGGAGACCTGCGGCACATTTAGTTACACATATAAAAACAAACAGAAAACAAAAGGACATCACAACATAATTACAGGGGTATACATTAGCAACCTATTTACAATTATTGAGGTATTTGCTAAAAAATATCATGACAATTGATATAATCCATATTGCCCAGCCCTGTGCAAAACCGTCACAGAAAAGCACTCACTCTGTTTGGACAAACTCTGAAGCCTGTCCACCTCTCTGGTCTTTTCAGTGAGGTTGGCCTTCAGTCCGTCTCTCTCTTCAGTCACTGAGTAGAGCAGCTGATCTCTGGCCTGGAGACGCTCAGTCAGGTTTGCTTTGACAGCGGAGAGATCTGCAGCTGCACCACCTACTGAGTTATGGTCTGGAATGAAAAAAGATGTTTCTTAAATTACCTGATGCAATCATACTGACACAAACCAAAGTCAATGTTATCTAATTTCGCCCAAGGAGAAAAATAGAAAACCAATAGATGTTTTGATCAAATGTGCATCTTTCAGAGCAGAATATTGCTCCTTAAAATCACACGTTCAAAATGACTTATGAAACGAATATAATATATATATTAAAAATAAGACTCACGGTGGACAGCGAGGCCGATGAGTCCAGCCAGCAGGAAAACAACCAGCAGCCCCGGACCGAGAACAGACGCTGGGAGAAATCTCCTGGGACACAGAGAAGACCAGGGAGTTTAATAAATCCAAAATCCACAGCTCACTCTGTCTGACTGACCCTTACCTTCTTGTATTGTTGATGATCTTGAGCTTAGGGGTTTGACATCGTCAAGGTTGACATAGATTTCCTCCATCGCTCATGGGAATGTCAAGTATTGAAGTATGTGACTGAGGAAATTGTGTTGGTTGGTTTCAATTTCTAAAAAATGTGTCTTTTTGAGGAAGTCACAACTCTCAAGTGTTAAGAGTAGTTTTATTGCTGTGTCAGATAATTATCTATCTAAAAAAAACAATACAAATATAAGGAAATGCTATATTTTTCTAACGCTGAGTCAAGACAAACTCAAATAAGCTTTATTGACATGACCATAATTAAATTAAAACATAATTAAATTAAAACACACCCGTAAAGCTCTCTTTGACAAGTTTAAAAGAGTATTAGCTGACATTGTTGTGAAAGCAGGGATCTTAAATGAATGCTGATAAACACAAGAAAACAAATGAAGACAACTGGGGAACCTTTTGAAAGACTTTATTTTTGTTCATGATTACATAAACACATATAGTGGTGAGTACCTTTTTATATCCTGCTTCTTTACACATACTTTCTCCAGTACAGCGTTAGCTCTGAGTGTTAGCGATGCTTGCTAATGTAAACACTGACCATATTACTTCCAAAATAGTTGGGCATTGTTTCTGATAGCGACGTTTCTGATAGTGCCGTGGGTGTAAAGCCAGCCCTGATTTTAGTAATGTCGTCATGACCGCAGCACATCTGGATCAGCTCCGTTGTACCCCCGTTTTTAGAGATTTGGGTACGGAGGAAAAGAGAGAGGGTTGTATTTTCGGACACTTTGTGAGTCTCCTTACACACCGGGGACACATATGTGTGTATAAAAGACAAAGGTGCATTTTGCATGATCGGGGACCTTTAAGAAAAAATGGGAAGTGGTAAGGCTGCTTTTTATCTGATAACAGCAAGTTGTTGAGTGCAAGAGCTTTATCTTGTCCGAGAACATGTAATACACCCACCATATTTTTATAATAATTTTGTTGATTTTGTTAATATCGTAGTTCCAAATAAAAGAGGAAAACAATCCAAAGACAGGTTGTTTTAATCCACTTCTTATTGAATTTACAGAACAATACTATACTCTACCCTGATTTATACTGCTACCATGATATATAACTGCATATACTGTGAAAGAAAATCCTATATCCTACACTAAAATAATCAAAGGTGCTTAAAAGGCAGTTATAAATGAAACACAAGACAAAAAAAGATTCACATGTACAAGGTTACTCAGAGAAGCAACACACACCTTCAGCAGGTCAGTCCAAGATGTTCCCAAGAAACTGACCCTTTTTGGGCACAAAGGCACTGCTTCCTTATTTTATAATAACATGTGACTGTGTGTTCAACTGTGGGAAGACAGCTGTGACTACATTTACCAGTAAAATATTTAGAGGAAGTAGTAGCTGCGGAATTAGTTTTGGTTTTGACTAATTTTTGATGGGATGATTACAAACATGCAAATAGACTGCTACTCATCGTGACCTTCCCTTTTATCACTGGTCACAATGATGCTATCTCTGTCTGAAGGCATTGTTGTGGACTTGCATGCATGTGAACAAGATGATAAGTATCAGGGTACATGGCCATGAAATGTAATCTAGCCTTTAAATCCTCTTTCCCCGAATAAGGGCGTGTCCACATAACGCTCCAAGGGTTGTTTTGTTGTTCCTATGACAGCAATGTCTTGACACTGTATCACCATTGTTGTATTACAAACTAGCCTCACCCCTTGGATTTTATTATCGATTTGTGCTATGTATTTGTTTGACATTGTGTCTATGAGAACAAACAGGAGGATGCTTGTTCTCACATTTTGTGTGATTGAGCGTCACAGCTTTAGTCTGACAGCCTTAGAGTGAGGAGGATGATATGTATATGGTACGATAAAAGCCACACACTCACTGGCAGATCTGCTCCAACAAACAGGCTCTTTGGTCTTTGTTATGATGGTTACTGTCTGACAGTGAGACAGTCATTTCCTTCAGTGACGTCAACAGCGTTTTTCTGGAAAGTTTAAATATTTTCAACTTGACCAAAAAGGTGGAACGGTCAGAAGAAAGACGAGGGGTGCAACTCTTTTTCTGAAGACCACGGTGTAAAACAGTATATGCTATCGCCTTATTGGAATACATTTGAAAAAAGATGCTGACGTGCAGAAAAGGCGATATGTAGACCCAAAGCAGTTTAAGTTTAATAAATCAGGTATGCAGTAAGCCAATTGTATCTACCTATTTAAGAACATGTAAACACACTGACAATAAAAGGGCTACAAATACATCGAATAGATGATGTAATCCCCATAAAAAGGCAAAGGGGTATGAACCTCCCTCTCACTATCCTGCTCAGTGGACCAGAACCTGGGGCACGGTCTTCTGCAGGTTCAGTCCCCAGAGAGCGGAGAAGGGAGGGAGGCCTTCGAAGCCCAGCAGCTGGCGGGTGGAGGACTCCCAGCTGAATCCAAACTCCAGCCGGCTGTAGACACACGGGTACTGCCGGTCCGCCCAGCAGACCCAGTCCACCGCCCTCTTCACCTCCTCCCAACGCTCAGGCCTGGAGGAAGAAGAAGAAAGTCGATATGAAAACAGGTTGCCACTCTGGATAGAGTGACAGCTAGTCTCCAAAAATCACCCAGACCCTACCAAACAGTGCCCATGTAGTTATAGCCTTTTCTACACTTCTTGCGAGACGTTTGATTCTTCTAAAATGGAAGCAACATTCCCCTCCATCCTTTTCTCAGTGGGTCAAATATGTTATGTACTTCTTACAGTTAGAGAAAATTAAGTTCTTACTCAGGGGCTCCTCTAACACCTTTATTAGAACATGGAAACCCTTTCTGGACTTTTATGACTCCTTACAAGATCCACTTGATAAAGAATAAGGTTGGATTGAGCAGTGAGCAGTGAGCATTTAATATATATTCATATATTATTGATTCATAATTTTTCTCTTTCTATTCCATTATCATTATTATTATTTGCTTTCTTTGTGTTTATCTCTGTGCTTTTTTTTTTTCTTCCTTCTTTGCCCCCCTTGAACTAATGTAATTATGAAAACACTGTATTTACTGTTAAAGGGCTCTGTATCCTGTAACTCAATGGGTTAATGCAGGGGTCTCAAACTCAAGGCCCGGGGGCCAAATCCGGCCCGTGACTTCATTTTATGTGGCCCCGCAAGAGCTTGCAAAGAATATAATACGTTTATTATACGGTTACATGCCACTTTACAGAAGCAGGTTGCCCATAAACTACATGTCCCACAATGCATCTCGTTTTGTGACATGCCACTGAAGAGACTTGCAATTATTTGCCCTGGACTTCATTGGTTCCCGCAAGACATAATGCGGGAATTTGAGAGCAGACAGGTGTCGGTGCTTGACTTTATCAACAATGTTGCAACCTGGAGCAGAAACATAAAAGAAAACAAACACACACACACACACACACACACACACACACACACACACACACACACACCTACACACACACACACACACACACACACACACACACACACACACACCACACACACACACACACACACACACACACACACACACACACACACACACACATACACACACACACACACACACACACACACACACACACACACACACACACACACAGTACTTTTGACAGATGTGTTTCTTGCATAAATACAATATCTCCACCTTGATGTTTCATTTGTATAAGCACTTTTTTAATTGGGTTGTTTAGGCCATTAAAGGTGGGGTCGGTCATTTTGGAGAAACCAGCTAGAGTGCGCTAGAATTTGAAAATACACAGCCTGAACAAATCTGCCACTTCCTTACAGAGCCCCTCCTCCAACACACACGAACGCGCACATGACCAATGAGGGCAAGAGATAAGTTTGTGCACAGATGGAAGGCTGACAGGCAGGTAGGCCATCCAGTTATTTTAGCCGGGCCGGCTAAAATGATTGGTCGTGCTTTTTACAGTACTACGGCTTCCACAGATGACATTTTTTTATGGATTTTTTGTCAAAGCACTTAAGATATTCATTGCTATCGGGATGTTAAGAGCATTCCATGGAATATAACAAAAAGTGTATCTCGAGCCGGTTTCTCAAACTTACCTACCCCACCTTTAACTAATAGTGAAATTATATTAATGTTCATAGTTTCAATTCTGGTGTTTTCTGTGTTGTAACAACTCTCCTTTACACATAGTTCTCCAATCACTTCTCAAAAATGCACCTTGTAGAGCTTCTAAACCTGTGTACATAATTTGTATCACCTTTCTTGTATTTCCCAACAGTGCATCCATACTTAACCCTGCACGGGTAAACTGAAAATAATGATAACACATGTGACAACAGAACAAGAGTTGAGAGTCAAGACAAATTCAAATAAGCTTTATTGACATGCCCATATTAAAAACATACTATTGCCAAAGCACATTGACAATAAAGAGATAATCAAGTCCATTGTGTTAAATAGAGACATATCATCTTACAAAGCCATACAGATGAATAATATTCTAAATGTATTGATCCTGTATAGATCTGTTTTACTGGTTAATAAAAAGAGAATAGCATGACATTGTTGTGAAAGCAGGGATATTAATTTTAAATGCTGATAAACACAAATGCCTTTCCTCTGAAGTACTCTGCCGCTGATCATAAATATAAAAAGTACACATAATTTCAAAGACAACTTTCAGGGAGGAGTTGTTCACTTTGAGAAAAAAAGGTGAAGTGGTAAAGCTGCTTTTTATCTGATATCAGCAGTTTGTTGAAGTGGAAGAGTTTTATCTTGTCAGAGAACATGTAAGACACCCACAATATCTTTTTACGGTTTTTATCTTTGTATGCATGCTCAAAGAAAGTTGCCATTTCCTGATCTAGCTATATCTAATTTGCCCATTTACTAAAGGTCTGTAATTAACTTCAAATAAAAGGCAGTTTACTTTTTAAATGAAACATGAGCAAATCCTGCAGTTCAAGTCCCAGAGTATTATTGTGATAAACATACATACATGTTTGTATTAATTGACAGCACTAGTTTTTACAGTATGTACAAAGTGGCTGGTACCTATGAATGTTAAATACCTGCAATAGATTTGTACTCACATGGCCACAAGAGGTCATTGTTAGGAAACATACTGTATAACACACAGGCTATTTTACACATTTGAACAAGTTAGACCAATGCTGAGACTAGAGTATTGTTGTATATTTCTGAATTATTCAATAATGTTTGACAGTTTTTATTTTTATCATATTCTGCTCATTAAGTCACCTTCAATATTATAACTTTCAGGAACTGTGGGCTTATCAGCAGATGTTTTTAATAAGCTGTTTTTATGTTGATGGGTAAAAGGATTTAACATTTACATTTTATTAGACATTTTCAAAGACAAAAACATACGGACAAGGACACGGCTCAAACAGAACAGGACAATAACATGAAGGGTGGGGGGGTAGGGGGATTACAGTGTCAGTTACATGTTATGTATGCATATGGCGTTGTATTTATACATGATTTGCTTAATAATATAGATATACTTAATTGTTTCCTCATTATTATTATAAAACAAAACATTTATCATAAATAAATAAATAGATAAATAGTCAAATAAATACATTTCCCATTTAATTTCACTTCTTTCATTATTATTACCATTATTTTTCTGTTTCTTCATAGCTTATTTCTCTTTATTTATTAATTAATATTATTATAATTATTATATTTATTATTGGCAGCCGAGATGGTTTGAGTCCAGGAAAGCCCTTATCTTATCCAAATGCCTGTTGTCTGGCTTAACCAAATATAACAGGGAGAAAGCAGCTTCGTCCATACTGAAGATGTTTAGGAAGTCCTCCAGCCATCTATTTCAATTGAAGCAGTTGGGCTTTCTGACTTTCCAGTTCATAAGAACGTTACATAAGATATGTAAAAGGATTAATACAAATACTAATTTAATTGAGGCAAACAAAAGTTGGCAAAAACTAATTAAATTACTATTTATTTATTACTGATATTAATCCTAAACAAAAACACTAAATAAATGTGATTTATCAATTCGAGCAAAGTAATTCTTATTCATGAAATCAGGCATTTTGTATAGTTTTAAATAACTCGATTTAAACTCAATTGTAAAAGCATGATTGCATGTTTAGTATCCAAACAGTCACCAATGTTAAGCTTCTTTCTCACAGATCCAAGGCAGATGGTCCTCACAGGACTGGTCGTTCCACCAGGCGGAGGGACTGATGTATGCACAGTGTGTCCTCTCTGCTCCATTATCCGGCTGTGTTTCTTCCCAAAGCCTAACAGGTATTACAGGAAAACAAGATGAACTAAAAGATTGGACATCAAATACAAATAACTATAAGTAATACAGCCATGTTCTTTTCTTAACACCCAAATGAATCTTCTGGTGAAAGGGGCAGACACCCTACGTTTAAATGCATCCTGTGTGTTGTGTTAACTCCCATTACAGAAACATGTGAAACATTTAGAAAGGTCACAACATAAACCAGCATCTGTATTTAAAACCAAAGTAAAGCCTTACGTCAGATTCAGTGGAGATCCATCCACCCATGTCCAGGTCCCCTCCTCTTCTCTGTCACTCAAACCAATCCAAGTGTCTCCCTTGATCATGCTAGAGATGAATTCCTGTTCACATATTAAAAATGCAGTTTACTGGGATGGACATCAACATTCAGATAACTTTTCCCTTTTTACTAGCTCAGAAATATGTAATTAACACCATTGTTGTGACGTAATCATTATAGCTGATAGACACATTTGCTAGTATATGTACAATAAAAACATTATTGATTGATAAAAGCAGTAGTTATACAATCACAAGTGTTTAAGCAGCACACATTACCTGTTCTTCCTCACTGTCTACGGTCACCAGATGTGCTCCTCCGGCTGTGCAGTTTTGTCTGCTTTGTTCCCAATAAGCTTCCTCAGTAGAGAGGTTATAACAGGAACAACCGAACATCTTCCATCCTTCAGGACACGTTTTCTCTGTAAAAGTTTTAAGATCTTGTTGATTTACTGCTTTAAACTGCTGAAATATGGAACTCTTGAGTGCATTATATGTCACTTTTGTAATAATAATGAAAAAACATATTTATTAAGCATTTTTAGAGGGATCAAAAGAGATCACAAATTTCATTGCAGAACAACTACTTCTCTATTTTTGGGATTTAACTAACTGTTTGGATGTGATCTAGTCAGGTACCACAGCACTGAGACTGATCTTGTTAAAGTCTTCAATGACATCCACTTAAACACAGACAGTGGCAACATTTCGGTGTTAGTTGCTAGACCGGAAATTATTATTATTATTATTATTATTATTATGCTGCAAATATCTGGAACAAACTACCACTAAGTTCTTCTTCCAATTGCTTATATTAAAAAGTAATTTAGACAAGGAAACTGGCCATAAGCATAGTTTACAGAGAAATATAAATATGGTGGGTGAAGAAAAATAAAACAAACTATAAATGAAATCACTCACAACTAAGTCATTAAAAACTAATTCTTGATTATCATTAATGAAAAGTGTCATTGTGTAACTATTTTACGAAAGTATCAATAGTCAGCCTTAGACTATCAATATTGAGGTATTTTGTACAAAATATTATGATAATTGATATCTTACATACACATACCGAGCCCTATGCAAAACCCCACATGAAGCACTGACCCTTACCCATCAAACACTGAAGCCTGTCCACCTCTCTGGTCTTTTCAGTGAGGCTGGCCTTCAGCTGGTTGATCAGCTGATCTCTGGCCTGGAGATGCTCAGTCAGGTTTGATTCGACAGCGGAGTCTGAAATGAAATGTAAATAGATGTTTTTTAAATGACCTGATGCAAACATACTGACACAAACCAAAATGAATGTTTTCCTAATTTGGCCCTAGGAGGAAAACGATAGATGTTTTGGTCAAATGTGCATCTTTCAGAGCAGAATATTGCTCTTGAAAATCACACGTTCAAAATGACATTATTAAACATATTAAAAGAAAGACTCACAGTGGACAGCGAGGCCGATGAGTCCAGCCAGCAGGAAAACACTCAGCAGCCCCAGACCGAGAACAGACGCTCTGAGAAGTCTCCTGGGACCTGAACACAGAGAAGACCAGGGAGTAATACAGTAAATCCAAAATCCACAGTGCACTCTAACTGATACTCTTACCTTCTTGTATTGTTGATGAGCTTGAGCTTAGGGTTTTGACATTGTCAACATCGTCATAAATTTCCTCCATTGCTCATGAGAATGCCAACTCTTTCCTAGAAGGTCAGCTCTGCAGCAAGTATCCTGAAGTATGTGACCTGGAAAAGTGTGGTTGCTGGTTTGAATTTCTAAATGCTTTATCTATTTGAGGAAATCACACATCATTTGAGGAAGTCACAGATCATTTTATATAAAGAATATCAGGAAATACTAACTTTATTGATATGACCATATTAAAAACATACTATTGCCAAAGCACATTGACGATACAGATTTAAGACTGAAACAAGTGTGATAATCATGTCCATTGTGTTAAATAGAGACATATAATCTTACAAAGCCATAAAGATGAATAATATTCAAAATATTCTGATCCTGTAAAGATCTATTTTACTGGTTAATAAAAAGAGAATAGCATGTCATCATTGTGAAAGCAGCTACAAATATTTGTTGGCGTGAAAAGCTGGCTCTCTTGATGGCACAAGACACAAGACGAACTGGCACAGATTTAAAGAATATTATTCTGTTAATGTAATGTTAATTTCTGAAAGTTGAGACAATTTAAGTTACCTTTTGTTGAACTACTGTATAAGTCTTTCAGTCTTCCTCTCAGTTATCCACTCTCAGGTGAAAGCCGTACTGCCGACGCCAGCTGATGCGCCACAACACCACTTCGAGCCCGGTGACTGGGTAGTGATCAAAGACGTCAGGAGGAAACACTGGAAGCAGCAACGGTTCCAGGGAAGTAGCGTGCCAAGCTACCATCACACGCATCAGAGGGTTGTGTTGTTCAGAGGGATGTGTTCCGGTTCATATACATGTAAATAAAAGTTTTACACAGAAAAAAGTTTTACATATGTATTTCTTTTTTTTTCAAAAACATTTTTAGTCACATGAAAAAAGTGTAACAGTGCATTGCAGCCAATAAGGCATTTTCATTTTTTTTTTTACAAAAGAACCCTTACCCACTTTCCCTCAACCCAGCCCCATCCCACCGACCCCCTCTCCCGGAGCACTGAGGCAACAGTACATCAATTACATACCAAATGATAAATACAATAATTTACATGCACATACAGTATATACAAATACACATACCTGCATACATACATACATGTACACATACACATACACATACACATACACACACACACACTAACAAATATATCAAGGGATGTCACACGGGCTGCATGTGTGGTGGACAGGGGAGTAATAATATCAGAATTATAGGCAGATAAAGGGAGAATCCCTACAGCGACACCATATCAGGGGCAAGACGGTCTACATAACTGATCAGTGGCATCCAATGAGCGTAAAACTTATCTGAAGAACCCCGGAGAGTAAACTTAATTTTGTCCAACTTTAGGAGAGACATAGTATCACCCAGCCACATTTTAAAAGAGGGAGGTAAAGGAGATTTCCACAAAAGAAGGATTTTCCTACGAGCAATCAAGGAGGTAAAGGCAATGACATTGGTTTGAATGTTTGTCATGTTGATTTCATCTGGGGGCCTACCGAAAATAGCTACATGGGGGGATGGAGAGATTTTTAGACCTACAATTTCAGAAATACATTTGAAGAAAGATTGCCAGAAGCTAGATAATTTAGGGCACAACCAGAACATGTGAGTCAGGTCGCAGGGGGCCTGGGAACATCTATCACACCTGTCATCCAATCTATCTGGATAAATCCTGGAGAGCTTAGCCTTGCTATAATGTAGTCTATGGAGAACTTTAAATTGTATTAGGCTAAGTCTATTACAACTGTTGGATGAGTTGACGGATCTCAGGGCCTCCTTCCAAAAGTCATCAGAGAAGGTGATCTGTAGTTCCTTTTCCCAATTGGTTCTGATCTTATTAATGGCATATGTCTTTTTGATCCACACATATTTGTTTTCCGTTTAAAACCGCATTGTATGCACCCGTCCTCTGGTTGAACTCATGATACCAAGGGTGAACTTGTTCTCTGTTTCAATCTTTGGCTCGGGCCAAATGCATGATTGTGCATTACTAATAGTCACAAGCAGAAGCATAACCCAGGATGTCATTCATTTCTGTTCCTGTGTACTATGACAAGAGTGGGCCTTTATTTTCTGGAAAGCCCCTTAACCCTTGTGTGGTGTTCATATTTTTGTTATTCAGCCAGTGTTCGTGGGTCTGGTGGACCTCAAGGTTCAAGGTTCTTTATTGTCAATCTGACATAGCTACAGAGTAATTATGCAGTTGAAAATCTTATGTCACAGGCTTCTCCAACAATGCAACATAATAACATAACATAATAACAATAAGAGCAAGAGCAATACAAAAATAGTGCAGTATGAGTCTATATACAAGTTATTGGAATGATATATATATATTAGGTATTAGATACATACTACTGAGTAGCAGTTGAATGTTTGAAGTTGTTTCAACAGTTCAATTTTTTAACAGTCTCACTGCCCGCGGGAAGAAACTGTCTCCGAATCTTCTTGTCCTTGCCCGGATGCTGCGGTAACGTCTGCCAGACGGCAACAGAAAGAACAGTTTGTGGCTGGGGTGATGGGGGTCTTTGATAATCCGTAGTGATTTCTTCCTGAGCCGCTGGGAGTAAAGGTCCTCCATGGATGGCAGCTCCGTCCTGGTGATGTGCTGTGCAGTTTTCACCACCCTCTGTAAAGCCTTACGATCGAGGTCGGTGCAGCTGCCGTACCAGGCCGTCATGCTGCCAGTGAGGATACTCTCTATCGTGCACCTGTAGAAGTTGCAGAGTATCCTGGAATCCATTTTGAACCTCCTCAGCCTGCGGAGGAAGAAGAGCCGCTGTCGAGCTTTCTTGGTGATGGTGGTGGTGTGAAGAGACCATGTCAGGTCCTCAGTGATGTGGACCCCAAGGAACCTGAAGCTTTTGACTCTCTCCACCGTAGTCCCATTGATGGCGATGGGGGCGTGTCCCTCTCCCTGCTGCTTCCTGTAGTCCACAATCAGCTCCTTTGTTTTGCTGATGTTGAGATGGAGGTTGTTCTCCTGGCACCAAGATGTCAGGTTTTCGACCTCCTCTCTGTATGCCGTCTCGTCATCGTCTGTGATCTGGCCGATGACGGTCGTGTCATCAGCAAACTTCACGATGGTGTTGGAGCTGTGTGTGGCCACGCAGTCGTGGGTGAACAGGGAGTAGAGGAGAGGGCTGAGCACGCAGCCTTGAGGGGCACCGGTGTTAAGAATCAGGGTGGAGGATGTGATGTTTCCCACCCGCACTGCCTGGGGTCTGCCCGTCAGGAAGTTCAGGATCCAGTCGCAGAGGGCGCTGTTGAGCCCGAGGTCTCTGAGCTTGATGGCCAGCTTGGAGGGCACAATGGTGTTGAATGCTGAACTGTAGTCAATGAACAGCATTCTCACATATGTGTTCCTGTTCTTCGGGTCCAGGTGTGAGAGGGCAGTGTGGAGGGTGAGGGCTATGGCGTCGTCTGTGGACCTGTTTGCTCTGTAGGCAAACTGCAGGGGGTCCAGAGATTCAGGGAGGGAGGAGGTGATGAATAATTTGACTAACCGCTCAAAGCACTTCATTATGATGGAGGTGAGTGCTACTGGGCGGTAGTCGTTGGGGCAGGTGATGATTGTCTTTTTGGGGACAGGAATGATGGTGGAGTGTTTAAGACATGTGGGGACTACAGACTGCAGCAGGGACCTGTTGAAGATGTCTGTGAACACCTCTGCCAGCTGAACTGCACACACCCTGAGAACACGGCCAGGGATGCCATCAGGTCCAGGAGCCTTGTGTGGGTTAACCCTTTTAAAGGATTTACACACATCTGCCCTATTTAAAACAAAAGGGCAGTGTAGCTCCTGGTCCCTCTGTACCTCCACAGCCTGGCTGCTCTCAAAGCGTGCAAAAAAACTGTTTAGCTCATCTGGGAGAGATGCGCACGCAGACACTCCCGCAGCACCCCCCGCTGCTCCTTTGTAGTCAGTCATTGTCCTTAGTCCCGCCCACATATTCCTAGTGTTACAGCCTTTGAAGTCAGATTCCACCTTCTCTTTGTACTGTCTCTTTGCATTTTTTATTGCTCTCCGGAGATCATACCTAGACTTCCTGTACTCCTCCAAATCTCCCGCTGTGTGCGCGAGAGTGCGCGCTTTCAGTTTGCCGCGCACCTCACCGTTTACCCAGGGCTTTTGATTTGGGAATGTCCGTACAGAAACCTTCGGTACCACGTCATCGATGCATTTCCCAATGTAGCAGATGACAGTGTCCGTGTGTGTGTTGATGTTATTGTCCTCAAACACACTCCAATCCGTAGATGCAAAGCAATCCTGCAGTGCTGAATCTGACTCCTCGCTCCATCAGGGTACTGTCCTTGTTATCGGTCTGTCCCTTTTAAGTTTCTGCTTGTACGCAGGCAACAACAGTAGTGAGATATGGTCTGATTTGCCGAAGGGAGGGCGAGGGAGAGCCTTATATCCATTCCGGAAAGGGGAATAAACATGGTCCAGTATGTTTCCCCCGCGCGTCGGGAAGTTGATGTGTTGGTAATATTTTGGCAAAACCTTCTTCATGTTGGCGGTGTTGAAATCTCCGGCCACAACGAACGCCGCATCTGGCCGTGAAGTCTCGGTTTTATCAATAAACCCAAACAGCTGATCGAGTGCCGTGTTGTTGTCGGCGAGTGGCTGCGGCGGGATATACACTGCTGTTATCACAACAGATGTGAATTCCCTCGGCAGATGGAAGGCCCGACATGAGATCATGAGGTGCTCTAGCTGTGCGGAACAGTCCGATGAAATAATCTTCACATCTGAGCACCAGTTGTTGTTAGTCATTACACACACACCGCCTCCCTTACTTTCCCCGAGTTTGCAGTCCGGTCCTGACGAAAAATAGAGAATCCGTCAGGGACAATAGCGGAGTCCGGGATAGCGGGGTTGAGCCAAGTCTCAGTGAGAATTAACACGTTACAGTTCTTAATGTCCCGTTGAAAAGCAATCCGGCTTCTGAGTTCATCTAGCTTATTTTCAATGGATTGAACATTAGCCAGAAGAATACTCGGAAGAGGGGGCCGATTCTCACGTTTTCTCAGTCTGACCAGCAACCCGGCCCGGCATCCTCGCTTTGTCTTCTTCTTGCGTCTCTCAGGTAGAACAGCAACAGGTAGCCATGGTGAATCTCCATTGTCTGTCGGAGGGTTAATATTGTCCACGAAGTTTCGCAATTGGAAAAGTTCCTCTCTGCTATATTGTATGGCAGAGTAGGTGCGGTCGGCTAGCATGTTGCGAACCATGTTAAAAGTAAAACGGCAAAAGTAAAAGAAATATGTACAAAATACGAAAATGGGCAAAGTTGGAGAGGAGCACAAAGACAATGCGGCCATCTTCACCGGCGCATCTGACGAGACCTGCTGCCTTTTGGGGTTTCAATTCAACACCTTCAAACAATTGTATGTTAAAATACTCAACAGATGTTTACTTCATCCCAATTACAATCAATATAAACATCATTTATGGTTAATATTTGCCCTTTTACATTTGTTAGATCACATGAATTATGAATGAATTAAAGTGCTACTTGTTATTTTGCCCGCCGACAGGCTGGTCCTGTGGCTCGTCTTTTGTTTGTAGCTGATGCTCAATCTCATCCTCTTCTTCAAAGTCACTGTCAGAATCAGAATTCTCAGAAATGTGATCCTCACATTCTGAAACCTCTTCCTCTTCCTCTACATCATCATCAAATGGTTCTCTCTCTTACAAAATCATTTGCAAGGCCCTCTGAGCAGAGAACCTTTTGGCCATCTTGATCAGTTGTGATAAGGACCCAAACTGGCGAAGCTTTATTTATTGTGTTTCGCCCCAAATTTGCAGCTGGGATAGAGTGGGGG